AATGATGGAGGCATCCCAAGACATCAGAGCACTCACGGAAACGAAGCTAACGGGAATAATAACAGATGCAATCTTTCCAACCGGATATCAGAATACGAGGAAAGATAGAGGGAGCAGAGGGGGAGGAGGAGTTGCACTGCACATCAAAAACCAGTGGAAATTTGAGGAAATGGAAGAAATGAGCAGAATGGTAGCAAGGGACTACATAGAAGGAACACTTCAGACTGGGGGTCCCAAGGTGGTGATTGCAGTGATGTACAACCCAGCACAGAATAGGAGAAGGCCAAGACAGAGTTAGTGATCATGTGGCCCTGAGCTTCGAAAACACTGTAAAGGTAAAAGAGGAGAATGAAGCAGCACGAGTAGGACGAGAGAAGCCAAACAAACAAAAAACAGTGGACAACACAGGCATGAGGAATTTCCTTCATGAGGTACAATGGGATAGAGAACTGGTTGGGAAAAAAGTAAATGAAATGATGGAATATGCGACCACAAAATGCAAAGAGGCAGAGGAGAAGTTCATACCCAAGAGCAACAGAAACAATTGGAAGGCCAAAATGAGCCCTTGGTTCACCCAAAGGTGTAGAAAGGCCAAAATTAAGTGCACTAGAGAATGGAAAAAGTATAGAAGATAAAAGACCCAGGAAAATAAGGAGATTAGCAGAAGAGACAGAAATGAATACACATGGATAAGGAGGGAGGCCCAGCGGCAATACGAGAAATCCAAATCTGACCCAAAGCTGCTGTACAGCCACATCAGGGGTAAAACAACAGTCAAGGATCAGGTAATCAGATTAGGAAGGAAGGAGGGGCGATCACAAGAAACGACAAAGAAGTATGTGAAGAGCTCAACACGAGATTCAAGGAAGTTTTCAGTGGAGACAGAAAAGACTCCAGGAAACCAGGATGGAAGGGTACACCAACAAGTACTGGACACACTATATACAACATAGGAGGTGAAGAGGCTAAGTGAGCTAGGTACCTCAAAGGCGGTGGGACCGGACATCTCTCCGTGGGTTCTGAGAGAGCAGTGGCACTGTGTGTGCAACTAATAATAATCGTCAACACATCTATCGAAACAGGGCAACTACCTGAGGTGTGGAAGACAGCAAATGTAGTCCCAGTCTTTAAGAAAGAAGACAGGCAGGTGACATTAAACTACAAACCAGTGTCACTGACATACATAGTATGCAGTCATGGAGAAGCTTATCAGGAAAAGACTGGTCGAGCACCTAGAAAGGAATGAGTTTATACACGATAACCAGCACAGTTTTAGGGAGGGAAAATCCTGCGACACAAACCTACTTTAGTTTTACGACAAGGTGACAGAAGTAAGACGAGAGAAAGAGGGAGGGTAGACTGCATTTTCTTGGACTACAAGAAGGCCTTCGACACAGTTCCATACAAGAGATTAGTGGAAAAGCTAGAGGCTCAGGCAGGTATAACAGGAAAGGCACTGCAATAGATCAGATAATACTTGACAGGAAGGAAACGAAGAGTGATGGTACGTGACGAGGTGTCAGAGTGGGTGCCTGTAACGAGCGGAATTCCACAAGGGTCAGTCCTAGGGCCGGTGCTCTTTCTGGTATATGGGAATGACATGGCGGAAGGAATAGATTCAGACGATGTGAAGCTAATGCGAAGAATTCAAGTGGATGAGGATCAGGTGGGACTACAAAGGGTTCTGGAAAGGCTGCAAGCCTGGTCCAACAACTGGCTCCTGGAGTTTAACCCCACCAAATGCAAAGTCGTGAAGATTGGGGAAAGTGAAGGGGGTCTAAAGACTGCAAACCTCACTCAAGGAAAAGGAGGAAAAGGATCTTGGGGTGAATATAATACCGCACACCTCATGGGGCGCACACCACCCAAATAACTGCTGCAGCATATGGACGCCCGGCAAACCTAAGGATAATGTTTCGATACCTGAGTAAGGAATCATTCAAAACTGTACACCGTGTATGTCAGGTCCATATTGTAGTACGCAGCACCAGTATGGAACTCACACCTGGTCAAACACGTCAAGAAATTAGAGAAAGTACAAAAGTTTGCAACAAAACTAGTCCCGGAGCTAAGGGGTATGTCCTACGAGGATAGGTTAAGGGAAATCAACCTGACGACACTGAAAGACAGGAGAGATGGGGGGGGGACATGATAACAACATATAAAATACTGAGACGAATTGACAGGGTGGGCAAGGACAGGATGTTTCAGAGAGGAGAAACAGCAACAAGTGGACACAACTGGAAGTTGAAAGCCCAGACGAGTCATGGGGATGTTAGGAAGTATTTCTTTAGTAATAGCGTTGTCAGGAAGTGGAACACTCTGGAGAGTGATGTAGTGAAGGCAGGATCCATATATAGCTTCAAGACGACAAAGCTCATGGAGCAGGGAGAGTGGACCTAGTACTGACCAGCGAAGAGGCGGGGCCAGGAGCTGTGAATCGACCCCTGCAACCACAAATATGTGAGCGAGCGCGCACACAGCTGACAGTATCGTGCTGACAACACAACAGGTGGGCAGGGAAAATTCACAGGTGGTTCATGGCACCTTCCCTGAGGCACACTCACACAGAAGAACAAGGGGGAACAAGCTAATGCAGCACAAAAAAATGACGAAGCAAAAGTAAGAGAACCTGAAGTCATCAGAGAATCTAAAAGTAATGACATGAGACCCAAGGATAAGACCTGGGGGCCAGAGGAAGGGGTAACGCTCATTAGTCTTTGAGGAGAAAGGGGTAACGGGGATGACCATGGGTTTCGAATGGGAGTGTGTGGGGGAAAGGGGCCAAGGACACACGAATCTGGGTGCTCCATCCATGGTCTCACCATACAGCTAGTGCTAGAGAACATTCATTCAAGGCACCACTTACTAAATAGCTTCACTCGCCCTGATTTTACTTCCTATAAAAAAACCATGACGTGATAACCATGAAAAATAATATTTAATAGAAAGTGTAAACTGTCATGGTTGACATTGGAGTTATTTAAAGTTCGAAATATTTTTATTATTCTCAGTGTGTGAAAGTGACTTAAATGATCTTGTCCTTTGCTCCCTCAGTGGACAGTCAAACATCTCTGACAGAGACATCATCTCTCATGACTTACCCAACTCTAAAGCGTAGCACATAATTCCAACGCTTATCACAATCGCCCTCTGGTTATAATAGTGACCCCTGGTAGTTATTTCCGTCACAGTAAAAGGTAACCACATGTAATTATATATAACCTCCTGTAATAACAGATAACTGAGTGTGATTACAGGTGAGTGGGAGAGACACCCTTCCTGACGCAGGGGGCCACTTTCACACCCAACAAGCCTTCACACCTGGCTACCTCTGGCCACAGCCAGACCAAACATACTTATCTACGCTTCATCAACAGTCAACAATGTCTGGGATGCGCGGGAAGAGCAAGAATCTAACAACAGTAGCTACCAAGCAGATGTCACTTAACAGACGAAGCAACTGTAGCACACATTCCGATTGGCTACATTTTGCAGAGTCCGTTTAATCCTGACTCGCGTGCCCGTCAATTACTTTACGTTGGTTGTTAGCAACTGAATAACTAACAGCTACTATGTAGGAGACCAATCCTCATAAGATGCAATAACATTAAAAGATCATTAACCACAGTTGTATTTAGGACAACCACATTTCACTGACTATCGGAAGCTGAACTTTTCAGTGCCATAGTTATGGAGGAAAACAATTATATACCTATGACTATCAAGTACAAATCTTCCAAATCTCATTATTATTAGGTAGCCCAACTTTTTCCGCAAACCAATAATAAATTCCAGAGTTGTATTTTCACTCGCAATAAGATATCTGTTACAGCGCTTTCACCAAGCTAGACTTAGACACAACCCTACAAGAAGCAAGTGCAGATGGAACAGGACCAGGTGATAGGATATACATTTGATATACCTTTGAAGAGTTTCGAGAGTTTATCTACTCTCTGAGCCCGGCCATGGGCCAGGCTTGCCTGGTCAACCAGGCTGTTGCTGCTGGAGGCCCGCCGCCCCACATATCCATCACAGCCTGGTTGATCTGGCACCTGGTGAAGATACTTGTCTAGTTTCCTCTTGAAGGCTTCTACACTTGTTCCAGCCGTGTTTCTGATATCTTCTGGTAAGATGTTGAATAGTCTCGGACCCCGGATGTTTATACAGTGTTCCCTTATTGTCCCCACCGCACCCCTGCTCCTCACTGGGTTTATTTTACACTTCCCATATCTCTCACTCCAGTATGTTAGGCAGTGTGCAGATTTGGGACCAGGCCCTCGAGTATTTTCCAGGTATATATTATCATGTATCTCTATCTCTCTAGGAGGCCGTGCGTACAGAATACCCCTAAGAAAAACGAAGGGACCTAGGGTGACAGTACGACTTGAGGCGCAAACTTTGGGGCTCCCCTGAAACAGATGCCCCTTGGCTCTATGACCCCACTTCGGGATACATTTGTGTTGTGGATAATTTCGTTGGAGGAAGAAAATACACGAGGAAACTGTGTACCAATGATGGTGAGCCACGTGGGTGTGCTTTCACATGATGCTACAATATGTGTGTTACATGTAATTTTATTACGAATGATAAATGACCAAGTGGTTTTGTTTAAAATGATAAATACGAATTTTCTTTTTTTTTTACTTACTAATGAAATACATTTAATCAAGGTATGTTTTTAATAACCTCAAAGGTAGTATACTATGGAAATGTAGCCACGTAGTAGTCTTCACTTGTTTAAGAAGACGTATGTTCGACTGTACGTGTGTACTAACAAAATGTCACGTGGAAGCGTTTACTAACAAAATGGTGCCACGTAGTCGTGTTTACAGCAAAATGCTGCTACGTGACTGTGTACTAAGAGCGTCACATCAGTGTTGTCTTTACGTTGAATTTCTTGTATTGAGGAACCCAGTGTTTCTTAAAGCCAATACAACAAGTAACGAGTTTACGTGCAGATGTACCAGCTTATACAAATTGTTGGTTTATTATGCATTAAGCGAGATGCCATACAGAGACTAGGCTGATGATTACGTCTTAAACGTATCATATACATGAGAAAAACAAATGAAAGTTTGTGGGTAGTTGCGGGAGACTGATCAAATAAAAAGCAAAAAGTTTCCACGATGAACTCCTCAAAAGAACGAAAACCAAATGGTGTGTGGAGGGATCATTTTATTAAATATGGGAAACTGAGGGACGCCAGAGGCTGGGATACCCGCAGCCTGACAGTGCACAACAAACTATAGCTAAACACGTGAGTCAACACAACCACCATCGCTGCCAGAAAGCCCAGTATAAAGGACTTCATGAGTTCCTGACGTCATGGCAGTGGTGGGAACCTATTCTCGGGCTGACGACATGCACTGACTTGGCAAGAACCTCTGAAAGCGTCTCTAGCACCCCTCCCCTAGTCGCTGCAGCATACACACCCATCAGACTCCGCCACTCGCTCATCCATCCATTTTAAGTGCTTTGGGTTAAAGCATTTGCTTTAACATTTAATACACTTCTGGTTCATTAACTGGTGAATCACCGTCAGGTTTACTCAAAGCGTGTGCAAGACTGAGCACAATACGAAATACACCTGGACCCACACAACATACACCCACGCCAAATACATGTATTACCACAAACCCAGAATTATTATTATTATTAATTGATTTAAGAGCTAAACCTGAGGGGTCAGAGTAACGTTATAGGTTCTAACCTATAAACTCCGACAAGGGAGCAATGAGTGTCTGGACCCGGTTATGTTACCGAGGAGGAGCACATAACAACAATAACCTACGTCACTGCACAGTTAACAGTATTTACAGACACTGTGTTTGGGTAAGCAAGACTTTACCAACTCTTTTAAACTGGCTACTACCATTATAGTGATTGTAATCACGTATTGCAGTAGTTCAAATTATGATGATTGTATGACACAGCGAAAAAGTAAACCGAGAAAAAAATAAAATGTCACGAGTGTATGTATGGTAAGACACGAAGAGATGAAGAAGGCCAGCAGACCATGTCTGAGAGGTTGTGGAGACATTAAGCTGACTGAATAACACAATTGTGCACTCACAAACACATACATATACAATTATACATAAAACACACGCACACACACGTGAGGTGATTTGCTGTAAGGCCATTTGTCGATCCTCGCGTGCATGCGTGCGTGTGCATATTTATGAGTGAGTGTGTGTGTGTGTGTGTGTGTGTGTGTGTGTGTGTGTGTGTGTGTGTGTGTGTGTGTGTGTGTGTGTGTGTGTGTGTGTGTGTGTACTCACCTAGTTGTACTCACCTAGTTGAGGTTGCGGGGATCGAGTCCGAGCTCCTGGCCCCGCCTGTGTGTGTGTGTGTGTGTGTGTGTGTGTGTGTGTGTGTGTGTGTGTGTGTGTGTGTGTGTGTGTGTGTGGTGTGTGTGTGTGTTGGCCTCTCAGTAAAGCACAAATTTATAATGACAACTGGACGGCGTTTCAATCCGTCCGGGTTATTGTCATACTGCGAACGAGTAAGAAAACAAAGAAAGTGGGAGGCGAGGAGACGGCTAGGATCAAGTTACGTCGTGATCTTTAGATTAGACCAACTGACATATTGTGATATTAAAGTATCAATGGCAACAAATTCGGGATATTTTTTTTTTTTATCGGAGGACCCGTTTATGGAATTTTCCACAGGAACAAAGCATGCTCACCGAGGCATAACGACTAGCATCACACGTTCAGCACCTCAGCTCACCTACCAGTATTCCTGCCACAATGATGGAGCTAGCAGCAGCCAGGAACGGACGTGACTGTAACAATACAGCAACGATGGTAGCACTGATTGCTAAATTACTATCACATTTTACATAAACAGCCAAATCCGTCTGGGATACTAAGCAGGACATGGTGGAGGATTAATCTTCGTCCGTTAATCGTCTGATAAAACACACACAGCCCAGAAATGTGAGGAGGTGTAAGCCTCCAGGATGGTTGGAGGATGGATACGAAGCGGAGGTGTAACAAAAATATGCTAAACTTATGAAATATACTGTAGTTATATGTGTGATGGACGTGATAAAAGAATCACACACTCCCCGGAAGTGCACCAAACCAACGCCCATCACACACACCACTGTAGTGAGGTCTAGGCCCCACCTGCGACACCCCTGGAGAGTCTACAGGCGAAGTCACAAGTGCAGTGTCGAAAAAAACAGGAAGAGGGTGCCAATATTTCCCAACTCATCTGATTCTGTGGATAATGGGGACGATGTGAAGAAATAAGAAAAAGTGCCTGACGAAGGACCTAATTCATCTGTTTCTATGCAAACAGGGACGAGAAGAAGTGCCCAACTCACCTATTTCTGTGGATGATTGCGACGAAGGCAAGGCCGTCCCTCCACGAGGTGGTGAAGTTCTTGACGTCGACGCTAGGGTACTTATGGGTGGTGTTGCGGGCCCAGCGGAGCAGCGCCTCCTTGGCCGTCAGGTTCTCCGCCTGACCCACCATGATGTCAGAGATCTGCAAGCCAAGACAAACATTTATATTATTATTATATTCATAAGAAAGCGGCCATACGGCGTCTGACATATATAAGATTATCAGGTTCGATCAGTTCTTCGGATTTTGAGTCACCAGCATCAAGACAACACTCTCGAAGACAAACAAGGAATTATTTAAATATCTATCAAACGCTTCGCCACAAAATTAGTGTAATTTTTTTGATAGCAATATATAATCTGCCAAGATCAATAAAGAGAATATCAAATAATATATTCCTTGTTAGGATAATCATATCTGTCGACTTTCAAGACGATTTGTTAATCATTCCTGGTCTTATAACAGGCCTTAATTGAAAATAAGATATAACAGGTTATCAGATACAATTGTACAGCAAATGCAAGTAGATCTACTTACTAGTTCGATCGATAGTGCACTCAACTCACACACTGAGGTCCGGAGTTCGAATCTCCGGTACGGCTGGAAAACATTAGGACGTGTTTCCGTAAGACACCTGTTGTCCATGTTCACCCATCAGTAAAATGGGTACCTGAGTGTTAGTCGACTGGTGTGGGTCGCATCCTGGGACAAAACTGACCTAATTTGCCCGAAATGCTCTGCATAACAAGTGGCTTTTTTATAAAGTAGTATGTCATTGACGTCATACACAAATAACCTGCACACAGAAGAGAGGAGCTTACGACGACGTTTCGATCCGACTTTTACGGTATTGTGCCTTATTTTGCTATTTACTGATGTTAGCTAGACCTGTATACCTTGTGCATGTACTAGTAGAAATAAAGATATCATTATATTATTAACTTTGATGCTCTTGAAACAGAAAAAGACCACGAATCCTGCCAGAGTACAAAACATTTAACAGGCTATCGTTTCATACTCGAATGACGGAAAGGCAGTGTCTACCAGGATATTACAATGGAAGTGCAGTAAAAACTAATTTTACAGATTTTATCCTCCCCCCCCCCCCACACATACAAGTTTTAGCTGACGTCAGCGTGTGTTGACCTCTCCTGCGCCGGCCAACCAGCCCCGCCTTAATTATCAAAGGTCACATCACTTACTACGCTTCTTAATGAAGGATCACTAGTTCCCCCATTATTAAGGCTCACTTTACCCCATATGTTTTACAGTTTTCTTTAATAAAAATGTTATACATACCTTATATGTGTTAATATTTAAAAAAAAACTAAGACATTTCTGACTCGAATTACTAAAGAGCAATGAAAGGATCGCATTATTTACTAGTAAGAGGTTCCATAACATAACAATTCTCACGTTACTTAAAATTATAATTTTTGACATTTTGCTCTACGTCAGTTTCTTAAATGTTGCTTGTTTTCTTAACTTAAATAAACAAAATATAATTTAAGTTAATTTAATTAGGTTACAGAAGCTTGTAAAAACGTACATTAAACTACAAATAACTAAATTAGAAAACCACGCGGCGGTATATCCATCAACGAGGAAGATGAGGAAAATATTACACATTCAGATTTGAACGTATTACTTGTTGTAAGGATGAGAGGCATTAATGTTTAAACTGGTGGTACTCTGAAGGTAGTACTTAAATATCTGAAGGTAGTACTTTGAATAGAGGAATATAACACACAGGGTGAGCAGAGGGGCGGGGATATCAATATGACCCTCTACAGAGCTGAACACCTCCCACCAGTGAGACAGCAACCCATCCACACAGAAAGATGGTGGGTCGATCCCTCTGCAGGTAGGAGCAAACACATGTATGAGGAAAATGTCATGTGTCCCCACTTGCACCTCGTGTTCACCAACGATGTCTCCTGCCTTTATCTTTATCCCCATGTCGTGCCTCCTGTCTATATTGTTCCCTGTACGTCGTATCCCCTGCCTCTATCGTTCCCTGTACGTGGTGTCTCCTGCCTCTATCGTTCCCTGTACGTGGTGTCTCCTGCTTCTATCGTTCCCTGTACGTCGTGTTTCCTGCCTCTATCGTTCCCTGTACGTCGTGTCTCCTGCCTCTATCGTTCCCTGTACGTCGTGTCTCCTGCCTCTATCGTTCACCGTACGTCGTGTCTCCTGCCTCTATCGTTCCCCGTACGTCGTGTCTCCTGCCTCTATCGTTCCCTGCACGTCGTGTCATCTACCTCTATCGTTCCCTGTACGTCGCGTCTCCTGCTTCTATCGTTCCCTGTACGTCGTATTTCTTTCCTCTACCCATCCACGCAGTTTCAGGCCACTTCTCTTCTACACAATTTCCTTCTCCATTAATTCCTAATCCTCCCCAACCAAACTACTCCAACATTTAACCAAAAAACTCGGCCTTCCCCTTCCCCTCTCCTTTCCTCTCTATTTTGTCATACACATCATCCACTCCAGATGTATATATCCTATTCCTTCTCTTCCCCGCTCCTTCCCCTTCACCCCTCAACTCCCTCTTTTCCGTTTCCTGAGTTCTTTCTTATCTCCCCCTTCCCCCCGACAAGCAGAGGACTCTACCCAAGGTCATCCTTCCCATGAACTGTGTTTTTAAGAAGGAAGTCCTGACTGCTGCTTTGTTGATAGTTTCTGCTGCGAGGCTAAAACATTCTACAAAACACACTCATATTTACGACCTAACTAAAATATAAAGAGTTGACAGGCAGATAGGAATAGACTATCTGAAATAGATTAAAAAGAAAAGTATACCAAGTTTTTTTCTTAACCGCCTCTTGGATCACAGCCACACTCCAAGTACAATTTGCATTACAAGAACCAAGAACAAAGTACATACACTGGTGGAAGCTAAAGAAACTTACGAGTCATGGGAATGGTGTTAGGAGGTGTTTCTTTTGTTTCTGGGTGATAGAAAAATAAGTTCACTAAGGAAATGGAGACAAATTCAATATGCAATTTCAAGAATAGGCATAGTAAACTCCAAGAAGTCAGAACCAGTAAAGCCAGCCGTAGTAGTGTAAAAGAAGGCGGGGTCTGGAGCCCAGATTCAACGCCCTTAAATACAAATAGGTGACTACATACAAGACAAAGCAATTTGAAAATGATACAGCATCAGCAACTAAAAACAATAGAACCGAAATTGCTTGACAGCCACGTAAGATTATGACAGAGATCAAATGCTAAGGATGAAGGGGGCAAGGAAGACTTAAGAAAGTCACGGCAGACAGAGGGCAAAAGTAATATGAAAATGACGTAAGGGAAGGAAAAGTCAGTGAAAGCCAAAGCGGAGTTATTTTTGTGATGCATCAAAACTGGAGAGCAAATGAAAACAATAAGGAGGAAGTGTAGAACAAGAAGAGAGGGAGAAGGAAGAGCAGTGGCAGCACGAGTAAGTGAATATCAGTACTCACTTGTGACTACGTTTAGAGAGCAACGTTCGGGATGTCTAACTGCTTTGGCTGATTATAACTGATTTGAATATTTCTAATACTTGTTGGAGTCACAACCTCCTGCTGGAGACTACATCAATCATCAGCTACTACACAAAAATAAATACATTACTTACACTGAACCTTCACACATGTAATATAAGAGAGTGCTCGACCCGCCCAGCATTCGCCATTCCTTACTCCCTCACTTATTTAAACATAACATGCAAACTTTTCTTCCTTCCATTCATCCCCCCTCCCTCCTCCTGCTTTAATGTTCTCCTTCCTGCCATTCCTCTTCTTGCTTCGTTCCCATCATTCTTTTCCGCCTTCAGTTCAGTATTTTATTAACAAATTAGACAAATGAAACGCAGCCACTTCAACTAACTTACCTCTTCCCTACACACTCAATTCAAAAAAACATTAGCACATTGTATTTCCTGACGTCGGAAATTCACACCTTTCCTGAATTTGTCTGCCAAGAATATGGAGGAGGAGGGGGAAGAGGGGAAGAGGAAAGAGAGGGGAGAAGGGGAAGCGAGAGAGGGGAGAAGGGGAAGCGAGAGAGGGAGAAGCAGAAAGGACTGTTTATTTCATTTTATTTAAAGCGCTTTTAATACGTTTCTAATTTTATCAAATTTCCACTGTTAGCGTCAACTTGGTACAGTCACGACCACCTAACTAGTACATAAATCATCCACAAAGAAAAACTGTTTGGGTATTTTTAACAATCGCAATCCAGAACTACGAGATTCTGGGTTCTTAGAAGAGCGCCATGTGGACAGAGCAGCGACCCTCATAAAGAAGCACCTCCTGACCTAGCAATAAACCACACCACAACGTCACAGTGACCCAGAGTCTGTGTGTGTGTGTGTGTGTGTGTGTGTGTGTGTGTGTGTGTGTGTGTAGTGGTTGTGGTGTGTGTGAGTGTGTGTGGTGTGTGTGAGTGTGTATGAAGTGTGTGTGTGTGTGTGTGTGTATGTGTGTGAGTGTGTGTGTGTGTGTGTGTTATAGTGTAAGTGTGTGTGTAGTGTGTGTGTATGTATGTGTATGTATGTGTGTGTGTATGTGTATGTGTGTGTGTGTATGTGTGTGTGTGTGTGTGTGTGTGTGTGTGTGTGTGTGTGTGTGTGTGTGTGTATGTATGTGTGTAAGTGTGTGTGTATGTGTGTGTGTATGTATGTGTATGTATGTGTGTGTGTGTATGTGTATGTGTGTGTGTGTATGTGTGTATGTGTGTGTGTGTGTGTGGTGTGTGTGTGTGTGTGTGTGTGTGTGTGTGTGTGTGTGTGTGTGTGTGTGTGTGTGTATGTATGAGTGTAATGTGTGTGTGTATGTGTGTGGTGTATGTATGTGTATGTATGTGTGTGTGTGTATGTGTATGTGTGTGTGTGTGATGTGTGTATGTGTGTATGTGTGTGGTGTGTGTGTGTGTGTGTGTGTGTATGTTGTGGTGTGTTGTGTGTGTGTGTGTGTGTGTGTGTGAGAGTGTGTGTGTGTGTGTGTGAGAGAGAGAGAGAGAGAGAGAGAGAGAGAGAGAGAGAGAGAGAGAGAGAGAGAGAGAGAGAGAGAGAGAGAGAGAGAGAGAGAGAGAGAGAGAGAGAGAGAGAAGAGAAGAGAATTCATTTGGAATAACTAAAAGTTGAACTGTCAAGTTGAGAC